TCGGGCCAATACGTACGTACCTATCAAGTAGCTCAGCAACCAATCCCGTGGACAAAGTAAAAAATTTACAGGCTGTCCCTTCCGAATAATTTCGTCCGTACCCGGTCGAGAGATCCTTTTCAACCTCAACGACTTAGCGGGATCGACTTTTCTTCAGCGGCAAGAAAATGGTGATTTTAGGTGAGTGAAGGGTGCTCCTACTTCTACCTTTCGCTCCTTTCTGTTTTTGAAATTTTCGAAGCTGGCAGTGTAAGGATGAGATCAGATCACGTCATTACTTCTTTGGATTTTCTGAAACCGGGATTCTAAACCGAAAATATTCTCAACAACTGGAACGAATAAAACTGTGCACATAAATACACCCGCCCTAACATGCATTCAATCTAAATGTTGGCTTAAACTTAACTGGACTGGAGAACTCAAGTTTTCCTAAGAATAATAGCTATTCAATGAAAAAGACTAGGAAATTCATTATTGTGCTCTTCAGGGCCACGTCATTTGGAATTTCGAAGAGGCAGATCGACAAAATAGATTTTGTGCTCGAAGGCCTATCTCCATATCACTCTCCACGCTACAACATCACTTTCAAAGAGCTCACCGAAGACCGTAAGCTGATTCTTGTGCTATTCCTATTCTGGCAGATCGCCAAGCTTTCACTTGGGATTTCGCAACTCGGTCAGTCAAGCTGCCAATCCAGACCTCACCATAGATGTTCCACTGATGAACCATTCTAAACGGAGCAGTTCTCCGAGGGCAAGAAATACCCGCAGCCAGTGATTTTTTTTCGTTCTGCTGAGATCTGTCACTAAAGTGCCAAATAACACTCATATGCCTACAGTACTAGTACAAGGTAAGTGCACTGAACTAGTATGGGAACTAAAAACAATGAGGTCTGAATAACATTTGCCAAATAGGCAGTAGAACAGCTCTATGGAGACGGAACTAACTAGCCCCACCTAGAACGTACTACAATTTGAAAAATATGTATTTTAGCTTGCTACTGTAATAAAAATGACGTGGTTGTGGGTACGAAACCAGTATACACAACATCGCCCGGATTCCCGGCAACCTACTGCTCCAAGTTCCGATGCAAAAGACGATTCTTCCACAACGACACATTACGCCATGGCCATGATTCTCATCTGGCATTTGCTGTTACTGTGCATTTTCTCAGTACCCAAAAATCCGATTATATTCAGTTTTATTCGGATGAAATCGCTATGGAAAAGTAAGTCTGGGAAGAGTCGGTCCTACTCCTGCAGTGATATCAAAGTTCTTACACTCAGATTAAATGGTACCCAAGAAGATGTGCGGTTGGTATTCATTGGAGACCTCATGGAGACCGAATTCGTTACAGATGATAAGATTGTTCAGCATGGATATAACATGACTGTGAAATCGATTCAGATCCCTACTGGTATGTATAGGCTTTTGTTTGTAAACACTTTTCAAGGCGACCTGTTGAAAAAAATGCAGATAGAGCTATGTATTTAGACTATTCGATATTCGTGCTTATAGCACAAATTTTGTTTTAAAATCAAAAACTGCCGGTATTGTAACTTCTTGAATATTCTATTACGCTTGCAAAATTCTCCAAATCTACTTATTCTGTTTACTGACTAATTCTAATACACAAATATGTAGTATCACTGGATCACGGGTAGTTTTCACAAAATCAAAAATTTTGAAGCCCTCCAATCAAGTTTCTTTTCTACATTGCTTCTCTAGAACAAAATCTCATGGAATAGGTTGTTTTTGAGCATTTAAGTAACAAAAGTCCCCTTTTTTATCTGGCTGGGATGGACCATTGATTCTTGATCGAATTTCTATGGACGTCCAAATCAGTCAGTGGAAATAAATCGAGCACGTCACTGAACCGGAAGGAGAGAATCCATCAGCTGAGATAGACTTGGACTCGGGTCTTGTACCTGCTGAAAATATGTATTCAAACTCAATATAAAATAGTTCTAGATGTAATAGATAAACATCAAGTATAGTGCGGATAGACGAGGTCACCAAGTTCATCTTGCCATCGGGGAATAGAGTGGATCATCCATTTGAAGCTTTGGATCAACAGCTCAAAATGAAGTCTCTGAAACTTCACGAGAATTTCGAATTTGCAGAATGTCTTTGCCCTCATAAGGGAGTGAAAACTATGCCAACCAAGGGCGATGTCAGAATGCTAATACCGGAATACTGTGTAGCGGTCTACTGCGAATGGATTATCCCATCTATAACATATGATATGGTAATTTCTGAGAGTAGTCAGTTTTCGGAATGTTCTTCATAATTCTACTCTTTTATTAAGTGCAGATATTTACAGAAATTCGCTGCAGTATTCAATTTCACGTCGAAGGTTGATATGCTAACAATAACTGGTGGAAACCAAACAAGACAGTAAGTAAAGTGAAATATACATAACAACTTTCATATAAAAGTCCTAACCCTAATGAATGGCACTTTAAATTTCCTTGGCGGCCAGCCGATGTACAAGTCAGTGCTTTTGTCCTTCCACGAGTCTGGTACCAATTACCCGACGACCCCGAAGGGATGGAAGGCTTGGTTGTCCTAGGCGGATATCGTTCCCAAATCGCAAGTAATGGTCAGACACCTTCTGATACTATGATGAATCTGCTTCTCTGTCCAATGGTCGCGAGGCGGGCCTTTTCCGCCTAGCAGCAGTCAGTAAATGACTTTGCCTGACAGCTGGGGTGGTTTTCGGGTCTACTCAAATTTGATCGCTTTCTCATTCAAATTCTGATACTATGCATTTCAGGTTCTCGACTATATCGGAAGAATATGCTAAGGAGCTATGGGAAATTCCGAAAAATTCCCCACCAGTCACCATTTTGTACAAGCGTAATGTGCAAGCAACTTCGCCTTTACCATCTGCAATGACATCATTTTTCGTCAGTTGGATGCCCAGAGAAGGTCGAGATTCACATGGGAGTTGCTTTGAAAGCGGTGAACAGCACGAACTGCTTTTCTTCCTTTTAGGGTGTTCCTGTGACAACGGTTCTATAAAGAATGCAGTTGTTGGCGAGTGGGATGTGCTGACGTCGCCCGCGTATCCTCTGTCGTACTGTAACGACATGCTGTGCATCACAAGAATTGTTGCTCCAGAAGGGTAATCCATTTGCTTGATCGAAAAACTTTCCAAGTAGAATTTTTTGATGAAGAGCAAAACGTAGAAAAGTAACAGAGAAACTATAGTCACGATTTCTGCTTGCAACAGTATAGGCGCTGCTCAGAGGTGGAGAAGTGAGAGGCCGTGAAATCGTGGACTTGCAGTATAGTAAAATTGCAAAAAACTTCTAGATCAATATCGGCTTTGACCTCTCCAGCCGATACTTATTTAGAAGGTTTTTCAATCAATTTCAATCAGCAATTCAAGGTTTGTCAACAAACCTTGAACTGCTGATTTGAGCGGGCAAAAACAATCAGTCGATATGAGTCCGATATCACCATCAGAACAGGATTCCGTGATTTCAATGACTCACCAACCCTGAGAATTATCTCGCTCCGTTCTCCAAGAGTTTTGTGTACCAGAATGAGTCATGAGACAGTTAGCCATGCTTACATTTTCAACATAGGAAGGGAGCGGTAGATCCGTGCTCTGATCTATCTCTACTTACCCAACTAATGTGCACCAAACCTGTGTAACGATCTGAGAGGAAGGACCAACACTCGCACCATAACCTCAGTTATCGCACTTATGCCTCGTACGATAAAGCGATATCCACTGAGTTTTGGGGACAACCAGAAACTTTCGAGGGTAAACCAGTTGCCTCTGCAATTGCACCCGTTCTCCCATATTATGGAATACATATCTCATACTCATATAAGAAAAGTCACACCCATTGCAGGAACCGGGACCTTTCCCATAGGCCATCGACCACAACATTATAGCTACACAAAATTCTTGTACAACAATTCGGAACCTGTCGTTCCATCCTGTTCGAAACAATCGATCTATCGAGATTTGATCAGTAACAACTAGTTTGCAGGCATCATGTGGTATTGAACATTACCGACTTCTATACGGAACCCTATAAGGATGAACTGAAGCTATACGATGGTTGGAATACCACTCTACGGCCCATGGAAAAGTGAGTGAAAATTTGCTATTTAATTTCCATAAAGTCATTGGAAGTAGTTTGGTGGCCTCGCGAGAGTTCAAAAATATGACCATCTGAGAGTTCCAGCCCTAGTGAGACCCCACTAGGACACCTCGCTCGGCGAGACTGCTAACTATGTAGGTAAGAACTGCAGCGCTTTGGGACTATACCCATCGTAAACATCTGCTTTGGCGCAATATTTTCATTTGATTTGATTTGATTTGATTTATTACACGAAGAGATTCGTGTGCAGCCATAGCAATAAAACATGAACCGGAGCACAAAACAACTAAGGCTACAATTCATAGTTGTGAATCAACAATTGAAGAGTGGAAAATAAAATTAAATTGAATGTAACGTCACGCACGCTTATAAGGCTGAGGAAAATCACCGGCAAACTGAAAGTGAGTTGGCCACATTGTGAAAATGCAGTGCAAAGTGACGTAAGTTGTGAACCATGATTTCATTGGAAGTGTTGAGTCGCAAGTTTTTTGAACTGAGCAATGGTTTTAGGCACATCACCCCGTTTCACGATTCTGTTGAATTCTAAGCCAGCACGGTGGCAG